AGTTTTTCAGTTGACAGTAAAACGACAGGTGCTCCTCGACTGTCAGCTCGTCGAACAGGACGTCAAACTGCGGACATATGCCGAGACTCGACCGGATCTGATCCATGTCTCTGCGGATGTCGTATCCGTTCACTAGTGCCGTGCCATCAGTCGGTGGGAACAGACCCGTCAGTATAGACATTGTTGTGGTTTTGCCTGAAAAGGCCAAACAATTATCTTATAATTACCATCAATTCATCACATTATCACATCACATACCGGCGCCGTTATGGCCCAACAGGGCTGTGATCTGACCCTTGTATGCATTGAGCGTCAGATCCCTCACCACATACTTCTTGCCATCAAATGTCTTCCAGAGATGCGATATTTTAATACCACTCTTGAGAGCCGCCGGTTCCCTCTCGAAGAAGTCATTATTGTGATGGTCATCGTGAGGGTCGTCCGTGTGATAGTCATGGGGACCGCCATTCAGCTGCACCTTCTCCTCGTTCACCACGTGTTGCGCACCGAACCAGTAGTCTCTGGTGACCGGGAAGTACCACTTGAGTGGCACACCATACTCGCCGGGAAAGGCAGCCTCGATATACCACGTGAGCACCATATAGAGGGCGGTGTCCACATAAAACATGATCATCACATGCAGTATGGTTAGGGTGTCGTCCGGGGAGGCCGGCTCGTGGATGTTGGACCACTGGATGCCGACGCTGTTGCCCTCCCACATGGCGATGATCATGGAGCCCATGGCCAGCCCGGAGTTACAGCTCAGACATGAGGCCAACTTCTGCGGGAACCCTAAGTCACTGGAAAGAGGTTTTCAATTATCAGTAAAATAGGTGTCAATTCGTGGCCAATGTCTGCAAATGAATACCGATATCTCGGGAAGAAGAAAAAGTACGGCATGAATGCCATGAAATATAGGACGCCGGCGCCAATCGCCGCTACATTAGCCTAAAAATTAAGACAATTTTTAAATACTCGGAGTCCTTTTTGTGGCAAATTATTAGGACTTACTTTCGAGAAGAAAGTACTCAATAAGAAACAAAACGCTATACAACTGATTGAGTAACTGATGAAAAACAGGTATATCAGGAATCCATTGCTCTTATTCAGGATACCGACGCCGTCTTTGA